AAAATCTTGGTCTGATTTTGGACATTTTCTGTTACATTGTTCTGGACATTGTCAGTTGAAAGGGGGTTTTCGTAAATCAATAATGCTTGAATGTGTTGTAATGTTGCGGTATTCCTTTGATATTAAACCCCAAGTCTCAATAACGCAAAAACATTACATTATACAAGTTTATTTAAAAAAAAATTGGCCTTTAAATAAACTGGGAAGCTTGAACACATTAAACTAGGCCCTAAAAATAGCTTAAAAACCACTCATTTAGCACGTTGTTTCCAAATTTTTCCCGGGTGGGAACCCCCAGATCCCCCTCCTTTGTTGGGGGGTGTTCCATACCCCCCAGGCCCCCCGGTGACATCCCCCAAAATATATCAAATCAAATCATTTATTGTCCATAAACATATATAAACAATGCATAGACAAAAGTAAAAAATGTCAAAATAAAAGTCACACAGGAAAAGAATACAATTTCAATGTATATAAAACAATAAGTTACCTCTTAGTGTACAAACCTGGGCTCAACTTAGATCACTCAAAATGTAGTTTTCCAAATTGTTATGCCGAATCGGTTGAATCTGAAACTTTTGATGAATACGGTTTTTTTTAACTAGCCAATTCTTCAAAGCAATTTTGAATTTAGTGTCTTCTAATTCCTTTATATTGTTTGGTAGGAGGTTGAAATAAATTGACCCCATCACAAAAGGACTTCGGCCAGTTTTGTTGAAATTCCTCCTCACACGGTGAAAATCATCCTTTCGTCTCGTGTCGTACCTGTGGATTTGACTATTTTTATTTGTGTGCTTTACATAATTTTTCACAAGCATAATTAATTGATAAAAAATGTATAGGTAGTCCATACAAAGTGAGGAGATTTAAATTAACAAAAATATCTTTACAAGACCTTTTGTACCATACTTTGGCTATCAGTCTGATTGCTCTTTTCTGGAGAACAAAAATTGTATGTAAATTACAGTCGGGAGAACTTCCCCAGAAAATAAGGCCATAAGACAAGAATGGAAATATGACACCAAAATAAATTCTTTTTAACCTATCTGTATCTAAATAAAAAGATATTCTTCTGAAGAGGCTGATTCCACTTAAAAGTCTAGATCTTACATGAGATATATGATTCTTAAAAGTTAAGGTCTGATGATCTATATATAGTCCCAAAAACTTACAGCACTCTTTACTTTCAAAGATCACATCATCCTTAACTAAATCTATCAGAGGAATGGCCGTACTACTCAATCCGAAAACTACAATTTCTGTCTTATCAAGGCTGACTTTGAAATTAATATTTTCAAAATATGAGCTGGCTTTATGTACAAATTCGGCCATGCCCTGCTTGAGTTCCTCAAAAGACTGAGCCCAGCATACACCTGACGTGTCGTAATCTTACTAATATTATAAATGTGAAAGTTTGTGTGTTTGTTTGTTTGTTTGTTTGAAGTTCAATCACGCATAAACCACTGGACGGATTTTGCTGAAATTTGGCATGATGATAGCTTACATTCCCGATTAACATATAGGCATATTCTTATCTCAAAAATCCTTTCGGGCTCCGCCCCAGTGGCTCTGTAATTCCCCATGTTAACCTTATGAGTATTCATATTTAAAGGGAATTAAAGAATTTAGTCAGCTGTTTCAACTAAAAAAGTTGGTTCTATGATATGGAAAAGCATTAAAAAGTTATAAGATTTACCAACAGGGTGCAGCACTATATTTTTTTGCATTTATGAAAACAGCTAATATGAACTAAGCAGCAACAAAAAACTGTGATTCGCAATGAGAACTGTCAAAGTAGGATTGTTTACAGTTATGTTTATGTTTTTCATTTCATGAATAATTTGTGATATTTTGCGAATTGTTGATAATTTATTTTTCTCTATTGTTTAGGTGAAGTGGTAGAACATTATGGCTATGGTAGATGTGTAATACTAGGCCTATAGAATACTGTAAATTTTAAAAAAGCAAATTTTATCAAACTTTTTCCTCCCTTATTGCAAACGCAAAGCTTGAGTATAACTGCAATAAGCATTTTATACTTATATTCCAACCCCGTACGAAGGACGGGTACTCTGCTAGTCATACACTAATTTAAACGTTTAAACAGACAACTTTTTTACCTAAAGCTAAAACATAGGTATATTTTAACTAACCTGAAAAAAGGGCAGTGTTATATCTTTTTATAAAATTATTCTAAAGGGTAATTATTATTCTGACTGTATTGGTAGACTCCCGAATTTCATAATTTCTATGTAACATAAAGGCATAATATGTTATTTATTATTGTCAAACTGTTCACAATTAATGTTAATTAAAAATCATAAAAATCTTCATTTAGTAGACAAAGATATTTGTGTTATAACGTGAAATACCTCCTACACATCAGCTTAAATCGTGTCTGAAAAAGGAAGGTTTGTGCGTTTAGCATGTATCTAACGGCGAGGCGGCCGCTGCCGGGACTGCAGTGATGTCATCGCGCGCAGTCCGCTCTGTCTGGCCCACCTCTTTTACTCCATACATCTTGGTGCTTAACAAAAATCACGTCATTTTCGGCACGAAGTAGGACGCTAGCCTCTCGGACGCCAGCGTCCTAGCATATAAAGACATGAAAAACGAGCTTCAATAGTTATTTGTGTAACTAGTGGTGAAAGTGGCACTTTGCTGCACACGAGAGCAATGTTTACGCACGAGCCGCAGGCGAGTGTGGAATGATCTCGAGTGCAGCAAAGGCCTTTTTCACTCGTGTTACACATTATATTTTTCCTACAGTCACTATAAAGCATATAAATAATTAGTCTTTCAAACACTATGCAACACGTTTTTAGGTTCAGCTGGTAACACAAATGGTGCCCTAGAGAAAGTAGTACCCGCGGTCCATATCACTCCGCTATTTTTCCTCGGCAAGAAATGTACTCCGCGTTTTGATAATATAGTTCAGTAAGTTTTTGTAATTTGAAGTGGTTTCCGCGCCTTAAAAAAATGCTTAAAAGGTTTTTTCTTGTTTATTAAGATCGTAGGAAGGTTTTAAAAACGTTTAAAAGAAGGTCCAGAAAGTTCAGAAATACCGAAACTATAAACACGAAATGACAGGTTAAACCGTAGTTATATTAATCAATCAGCTGCTCATAGTATAATTATCTTTAAGTGTTGCCAACCTATTTCCAAGCATACACGGATTACGTGCATAATGGAACCACGCTGTTTTGTGTTGTTTCGTTGGAATCCTGATGTGCGGCAAAGTATAAACCGTACGGCAAAGTATAAATATGCAGCAATTAGCAGCTTTCTGTACTATAAACAGTACAAGGAAGCCAACTTTGTCGGGTGACTGTAGGAAAAATTAATTACAATGGGATGAGAAGTCTACTTGTCCTAGTATAATCGTAACCTTTCAACAAAAACACTTTTTTTACCCTGCCTGTTGCAGCAAACCTAAGTACTCGTTAAACTAATTCTATTTAAATAGGGAATAAATGTTATATTTTTTAAGGAGACATCTTAGTGTAGGTCTAAATCCAATCAGGCAAATGGGAATTCGCTAAGTCTGCAGGTTTGCTGTGGCCAGGGTATTTTTACAATTATGATTTCAAATAAGTATTTCTGCTGTATACCTAAATAATTAAGGCTGGGGCTCCACTTGCCGTAAATCGTCGCGCTGCAAATTGTAGCGCGCTACACGCGACAGTTGGTGGCTCCACTAGCAGCAGAGTACGAACTACAATCTGCAGCGTCCTCACAATCCTCACATGCACCGTGGCTCCACTAGCAGTTTAGTGTAGCGCGGAGGTAAATTTGACCCTGGATCATGCCGCAAATTAACATTCGTAGTCTTGTTGTTATCAGTGTACTTTTATCAAGACGACGCCGATCACAGCATCCGAAAATGTTGGATGTTGGATCCATCCAATTTTAAGCAATAGAAAGTCCGAAGGGATGTTCTACACATTGCATACTAAACTACAAAAGTATTCAGACAGTATCAACACGTTTGAAGAAGAAGAATACCAAACTAAGAGAAGCAATTGGAGTAGGGGAACGGCTTTCAGTGACATTAATGCAATTTTAGTGTACTGAATTTTAACTAATTAATTTTATACAGTGAACCCTCGCTTCATCAATCCTGGGTGTGTCGAATTACCTACTCTTAATGGTCATTTTATCTCTATTTCTATTCTATTTCCATTTTTTATTTTTTATTGCACTCATTTACCCTCAGAAGTAATATGTCTAACCAAAGTAGGCCTACGCTGAATATCAATGAGTTTCTTGAGTTTTTGTTGTACATATTAATAATAATCTAAAACAACCATTAGGAACTTTTCATTATAGGGCTAATCATAACAATTTGACGACTGCTGCATTTAAAAACAAATTGAATGTGTTTACGTATTTGCTTCTCCAATCACTACTGTATTAATTTATAATATGTATAAAGTAGAAACCCCCTACACAACCTCTATAAAACAAGATCCCCACACTCCCGATATAATAAGTTATAAATTTATAATATAATAATTTCACAGTCTATAGTTCAGGCTCCATTGATTACAAATCAATCCACAAAAATCAAAAACTAAGGACACTAAAAAGTCGATACTGATTGTAGCGTGTGTCTCGTGCCTGTATGCTGGTCGGTTGTACGTACACTTTGACGCGGCACTACAATCTACAGCTAGTGGAGCCACCTGTTCGCTACAAAATGTAGCGTGAAAATGGTCCGAGTTCCATTCCCGCGCGACGCTACATTCTACGGCGCGCCGTAAAATGTAGCGCGCTGCAGACTGTCGCTAGTGGAGCCACCTTCGTTTGATCGCTGCCTTCCCATTTCTTCAACTGACCAGCTACAATTTGCAGCGCTGCAATCTACGGCAAGTGGAGCCGCGGCCTAAAAGTTACTGTAGTCACTAGTTCACTGTAGTCGTAAAAAAAGGAATCAAAGTTCATGGGCTGAGGCCAAAGTCTAGTTTGATTGAAAAGTGATTCGTTGCGATATCATGTTGGCAACTGTTCACACCCATACAAATAACCTTCAAGTTTTGTTATCAAGGTCAATTTCTGTGTTCTGCTGCTCCTTGGTCTCTAGGACTTTCAAACCAAGTGTTATTAATCGCAGTTTTTCAGGTTCTTGTACAAAAATGGCAAAATATACAATCGTTATGGTTCGTCATGGCGAAAGTGAATGGAATCAGAAAAATTTATTCTGTGGTTGGTATGATGCAAACTTAAGTCAAAAGGGTATGTATTATTAATTCTAACCTAACTTATTGTAAATGTGTTAGGCCTAGGCTTATCCTTATCATTTACGCAGAGGATACGCGTCCGGTAACAGGACTTGGATTAGGCGTCCGGCAGTTACTGTCATAACATAGGCCTAACCTAACCAACCAAACTTGCTGATAATAAAAAAAATCAAATGAAGGTTCAATTCTCTTCATAACATAAAATTATAAATGCCAAAAATTCTAACAAAAGATGTACAGTTAAGAAGAAATGGCTGCTCTTTACTTTAGGTCCTACACTTGTTCGAATGAAAATATCGTTTATTCGATTGTTTAATTTGATATATCGTTTGGTTAGTTAGGTTAGGTTAACCTGACCTAACTAACCAAACGGTATATCGAATGAAATAATTGAAATATCGATCGATATTTTCATTCGAATGAGTGTAGGACCTAAAGTAAATTGCAGCCGAAGAAATTACATTCAAAGCAACATCTGTGACAAAAAGTTAAAGAAACCGATGGGTTTCGAACCAGGGACCTCTTGGATATCAGCCGAGCACTCTATCCACTACACCACGAACAACGCTGGCCGAACATCGTATTGTTGTGGTAATGGCGTTGCGGGACCCCACAACCCGGTGACGTCACTACCGGACGCCTAATCCACGTCTGGTTACCGGACGCGTATCCTCTGTGTATCATTTCAGTGGGTTATACCGGTACACATAATTGTTTTTACAGTAAAAACTAAAACTAAAATTAAATTAAGTTATCATAACTTAACCTAACCAACCAAACTTGCTGATGGTGAAAAAATCGCATGAAGTTTTACAATCTAATCGAAAGTTTAAATCAATATAAGCGTCACAGCCCAGTTAAGAAACTGTAATCAAAATCGAATGAAGGTTTACTTAACCCTCTGAGTGTTATGTGTCGCTTTTGCGACTCACAAACGCTGTTTACGGCGACGGCTCTGGGACTGACTGAATCGGATTGAACTGGATCGAGTTAGGTATCGTTTTTTTCAGCAGATTCAGAGCTTTCTCCTGATGTCTGTTTCTATACGCTTTTCATTTTAGTTCGAAAATATTGTAGCAGACAGCTGACGTGCGTATTTGTAAACAGCTTGGTTAACCTCGCACCGATGACTGATGTGTTTTATTACGTTTATCATTGTTTTAGTGTTAAAAATCAAAAGTAGTGATATACGTGGTGCATTATAAGAAGATTTTTAAAGTGATTTTGAAGGGCTGGTTGATGATCCTGAAGAAGTAAGTAGTGATATTGATGTAAATTATCAGCCAGATTCCTAGCTATGGTTAGGCTATGCATTCTTAGCTAAACGCTATGTACTGAAATCTGTTTTTTGCCCATAACTTATTTATTTGCAAACCTACTTCCTTATATTATTATATTGAATCTCTCAATGAATCTCTGGCTCTGGCTCTCGCGGACCTAAGGAAAGCTTTCGACTGCGTCCCTCATGCCCTGCTTGTCGAAAAACTGAAAGCTTACAGAGTCTGTGGTGAGGTGCTTTCCACCTTCGCATCCTACCTGGCAGGTAGGAAACAAATCCTCACCCTGAATGGAGTCAACTCTTTCCCCCCAACCCGTCAACCATGGAGTGCCCCAAGGTTCGGTCATTGGACCGGTTCTCTTCTTGATCTTGATTAACGACCTAGGTGTGCAGTGAGACATACTTCTATTCGCAGACGATACCACCGTTTTTGCAAGAGGCAAAACACCTGACTTGGCCCAGGAATCGTTAACAGGAAAATTTGTTGTGGCCAAACAGTGGTTCCTCGACAATAAGCTGAGCTTAAACGAAGATAAGACACAAGAAATTGTATGTAGCCTCAGTTTAAGCCAATCATCAACTTCTCCGGAAGTTAAGTTACTGGGTTTTACCCTGGATGCTAAATTAAGCTGGAACAGTCACACGGCTAACATCTGCCTAAAACTAGCAAAAGTAACACGTCTCCTCAGGTGCCTAAAGCCTCTACTATCTAAGGAGCACCTATTAATGATATATTATGCACTGTTTGGCTACAATTTGGCGATCTAACCAATTGAGAAGAAGCACCAAACTCAGGATATTTGGAACAAATGTAACATCTGTACTTCTCTATGGTTGCCAAACTTGGAAAGTTACTAAAACGGTGTCATCTAAACTCCAAGTATTTATAAACCGGTGCCTTAGAAGAATTTTTAATGTCCGATGGCCAGATATGATTACCAACGAAGAGCTATGGAGGAGGGCACAAATACCACCCATTGCGGAAACAATAAAAAGACGGAAATATGGGTGGATTGGACACACTCTAAGGAAAGAGCAAAGCAACATAAGCCGTCAAGCTCTTGAGTGGAACCCGCAAGGAAGCAGGAGGAGGGGCAGACCGAGGATGACTTGGAGGAGATCAGTTGAGAGGGAACTGCAGGAAGAAGGCAAGAGCTGGGGAGAGGCAAAGCAGATGGCCCAGAATCGTGTCCGGTGGAGAGCATTTGTTGCGGCCCTACGTCCCCCTCGGGATTAAAGGAAATAAGAAGAAGAAGAAGATGCACTGTTTCACAGTCATGTTATGTATGGGCTTCAGTTGTGGGGACACGCACCGGGATGCAATAATATCCTACTCGAGCAGAAAAAAGCCTTGAGAATCATAGACTCGGCTGGTTTTCTCGACCACTGCAAACCTATATTTGCAAAACTCGAAGTCTGCACCGTGTTTAGCCAATACATTCTGCTTAGCCTGCTTTATGTCAGGGAAAACCTATCTTTACTTACTATGAGAGGGGACCTGCACCCATATAACACCCGAGGGAGGGAAAAGATTGATATCCCTTATTGTAGGCTGAGTAGAAAGAAGGAATGCTTCCCAGTCCTGGCAATAAAACTTTTCAACACGCTCCCAACTAGTGTGAGAAATCTGGAGGTCGGGAAGTTCAAGACTCGGGTAGAGCGATGGTTGAGGAAAAATCCTTTCTACTCCATTGAGGAATATTATAAAGCAGATACCCAAAATATATAAGGCCTAGCTCGGTAAAGACCTGCCGCCAAACACACAACCCAAAATATGTAAATAGTGTACAGTTTTTAAATAATTTATATTTTGTTGTACAGTCCTAAATATTAGTTTTAAAAGTATTACTGACGCCATCTATCCAGTACCACTGGTCAAAGATGAAGGGAAGAAGTATGAAGTAGGCTAAGTATTTTTGGAATCCTCATAAAATTCTGATTAAAGTGGCTATTTTAAAATATTTGTAGACCTATAAATTATAACAATTTATTGAGCGCAAACATAAATTGTTTTCATTTATTTTATAATTTTTGAGAAATGTTAACCCCACAAAAATTGTTGAGCATTTTTTTTTATGTTTCATATGTTACATTGAAGTCCATAATGATATATAAAACAGTATACTTTACATTGTTTTTAAGTTGTTCTAAGATACATTTTAATAAAACCCTGCGATTGCGGAATAAATGGGCTAACATTAAGACAAAAACTAGAGACACTTGGAGGGTTAAGGAATTGATATTAGCGTAGGTAGCCCAGTTAAGAAACTGTAGGGCCTACCAGTTCCTTCATTTTTTCATCCACCAAATGTCCATTGGAGTTGAAGTTGGATTCAGCTCGATATGTTGAAGAGGGATGTCAAATGTGTTTTTGCAGCTTTATGTGAAATCCAGGTGGAGGATTCGTCTTCGTCTTCTGAGTCCTCATTCAGTTTTCTAGCTAACATCGGCAACAATCTGGTCGTCCTTGAGCTCTTCACAAGTATGATCTTATTGATAGCTGTTTTAATTAAACACACAAATTAAATGCAAGTTATTTATATGAATTAAATTAAATTAAATTACATCTTCACAATTGTAAGAACATCCTACTTAGACAGAGACCATGAAAAGAAGGAAAAACTAAGTTTGTTTTTTCAGTTAGAAGAAAACCAATGATTAAACATATGTACCATAGTTGACAAGTACTTTACATGACATGATGAGATGAATGAGCTTACTATATCAACATCTTTCCCCCTAACAAAGTTTACAAACTGTATAAACTTAAATTAGTCTAACTTAACCTTCAAAACATAAATTGAATTTCTTTAAAGCAAGAGGATATACAAAACTAAGTTAAAGATATTTTCAAGATACTAGATGCCGTACAAATTTAATTCAAACAAAATGAAAATTTCACTGGGCCTAAAAAATAGGTTAATTACAAATTAGGCTTACTGACCTTCTTACAATAGAATTTTGTTAGTTGTTAAAGGTCAGTCTTTTAGGATTTTTTATAATCCTACCTGTTCTAGTTACATAACCATCTGTACTTATTTATTTATTTATTAATTTATTCCAACGGGAAACCCATTACATTGATACATTACAAAGAAATAACAATAAAAATCAAGGCAAGATGTGATACAAATACTACAAATAATCAACAACAACAGCAGCAACGTATTAATACAATAAGTCTAAATTCAACAGCAAAAAATGTGTACTATGAACATGTAACAATATAACATCACCATATACCATTTATCAAACCATTAACAACAAATAAATATTTAAAAAAGACAACAATATAAATAATTTGACTTTTGTAAAACTAATGAATACTGAATTGCTAACAAAAAATATAATCTAACTTATTCAATACTAACAAAGGTACAGATTGTGTCTACATGCATTACAAACTACTGTCACTGTGTCATTGTCGCAGGCTGTAGAGCTCGTCAGTTGCGACTCTTAGCAGGCTCCTCTTGACTGATGTGGAACTCAGCGAAAAAGTCGATGTGGTGTGAGGCTTTGTTCCCAAGTCTCTGGATTCTATTGAGGGTGCTGTTTGCATCATAGTTGGTGCTCACATGCCGTCTTCCAAAAAGGTCGGTAGATCTGGTTCCAGTACGAAAAAGGAAACCAATCTGGCCTAACAGCTCCGGACAGTCAAAGGAACCATTCACCAGCTTGTGCAGAAACACTGAACATCTCCTCTGACTTCCAAGCTTTGAAGGTTGAACAATGGCTCGAGATCTCTAATAGGAACTTCTCTGAAGGCAAACCCCATCCGACAGCCAAGGAGACGTAAGAACCTGTCTTGGATGGTCTGAAGCTCCCGAACCAGGGTAATCTGATGCGGCGACCATACTACGCAGTTATATTCAAGCAGCGGACGTACAAGGGCGCAATAGAGTGTCCTAAGAGAGCGGAGGTCATCAAAGTCTCTGGAAGAACGTGCTAACAGGCCAAGAGATCTAGACGCTTTCGCACAGATGTTTTGGATATGTAAATTGGGTCTCAAATCCTGAGCAAGCATTACACCAAGGTCACGGATACTTTCACAACGAGTCAATGGAATGTTATCCAGTTTGTAGTCGAAGATGATGGCAGATTTAGTTCTATGAAATGTAATCCAGTTGCATTTCTTCACATTGAGTGATATGTTGTTTATCTGGCACCAATTCACAATAACCTGGAGACTCTCCTGAAGCAACAATCAGCCGGTGAGGTAATTTTTCCATACACTTTCAAGTCATCTGCAAAAAGCAGACAGTCAGACCCAATAACCTCAACAATATCATTCACAAAGGTGTTAAAAAGATATTTTTAATTACATTGATTACTCTCATGATCAGGGTTCTCAGTGGTCTGAATAAGAGTGCTGGTTGGGTTCGGTTTAGGTGACTGATTTGGAGAAGCTGGGTTGGTCCTAGGACTATAGATCGGCCGCTTAGAAAACGACCTGCGCGCTAATGCTAAACCAATGCTAGAGGAGGTCGCTTTCTAAGCGGCCGAACTATAGTTGAAGGACTAGGACTGTTGGACTCCGGTGTGTTACAAGGCTCTACTGGTGGAGACAAGATAAAATACTTGCGGTTACACCTAAACAATCGTTCATTTTCATCTTTTACTAAAGTATGTGAGATAGGGGTACTAAGCCCTTCGAAACTATTTTACCCTTAGACCAACTAGAAACAACTGGATTTCTCTTTAATAATACATCGTCATTCACATTTAGCTCACTTAGTTGTTTTACATTAGAATTGTACTTTTTTAAGCTGAACTCAATGCCGCAATGCGTTTTTTATTTTCATATTTTGTTTTTGAAATATTAAAAGTTTTAAATATAAAAATTTAATATTTCATAAAGAAAATTTGATAACTTAATGTTTGAAATGTTGCCACCCGACCTGACGACCTGACCTGACGACGGACCCAACATCAAACCTGACATGTTGGGTGTTTCCCACACACTGTCGAGCATGTTATCCAACAAGGAGTTGAGAGCACGTAAAGGATTTTTACTCAAATAGCCTACATTAATTTCTATCAAAAGATATGTAAAGTAAAAAATGTAGTAGAATACATTTAATTATACTTAAAATTGATGATTCTGTCAAAAACTTCTGGTATTTCTACGTCATCCACGCTTTCTTCGTCCTCAATTGTTGTGGGTCTCTTATTGATTGACGAGATACATTTTCGCACACTCTCTTGATCCGTTATAAATATGATTAGGTTGTAATACCAAAGTCTGCGTTTATGTACGTAGAACGGGAGCAGGGCGATAGCGGGCCCGCTCCTGCTGTAAAAATTTTGTAAAAATTGTGCAAGTGATAGTGGTAGCAGTTGGTCAACAGAACATGGAGTGGGAGACACAGTCTTGCCAACTCAAACTCTGCCAAATAATTAACACAACAGTACTGGTCTATCCTACGAGTGCAATGGATCCCGTTATTATTTGTAGCGTTACCTTTTAATTAAAAAGAGAAAACGAAGACAAAAACGATGGGGTGTACACCCTATCAACCGTGCCAGGATAAGTTACGGATAACTGTTGATATCTGTTCCGTTGGAAAGTGTTGATCTTCTTCTGAAGACTCCATCACTCCGTACAAGACGAGCTAACAGTTGAGATAAAACATGAATGTATTCAAATGTGAATTGTAACTAAATTACTTTCAATATTTATTAATTACTGTATTAAAAAAATACATTTAAATGTTAATTAGGCCTAAATCAGTGAAGAAGATAAAAATGTATTCAAAAATAATATTCTAAAATTAAATGGTGAGTAGGTAGGAAATATTTCCTATGTACTGTCCAGTGTCCAGGTGTGAAGTAGCATTGTTGGAAGAAAAGCTAAAACAAAAGAAAGAAAATGTGCTTGTGGTGGAAGATATGTAGATAGAGATGGATGTGGAAGCCAAGTCTCCAGTGATTTAAATATTCAAAAGTCTATAAAATTAACATTCAGATCATATAGAAATATCAATTAGCCTATAAAGAGAAGTAAAAATTAAAAAAATTAAAAAATTAGAAATAAAAAAAGCCTATAAAGAAAGAAGATTCAACAAAAACTGGTAGTATTAAATTCAATAGACTTTTTAAAATCACCATTAATTTCCAACCACCATCACACCATTGTGAATAGACTAAATTCAAGTGACTTTCAAACTAAGAATTATAGCTTAAATTTTTGACTCTCATTATTAGCCTATCTCATATTATTTAGCCTACATTAGTACTGTATAGATTAAGTTAATAGCCTATCAGAATTTCATACCCGGCACGAACCAACCCCTAGATTAAGATCATTGCTCTCCAAATTGTCACCTAACCCATCTATAAAAAACCTAGACCAAAATATAATTTAACTGTCATAGCCCCATGAGATTGTTATAATAGCTATAGAACCTAAATACATCTTGTTGTAACTTTATTGGAATTTTGATTATCTATTTTAAGTAAATTTATATTTATGAAATCCATTAATAATGAGGAGTAGGTTGCACAGTAGTAAACAAATAACCTCTGACCGAATCCATAAGACAGTGCACTTGCGTGTAGGTCAAGTTAACCCTGGCTGCAGCCGCTTCCGCTCCCGCCGTGCATAAACAGTCTCATTTGAGTCAATGTAGTTGAAAACCGCTCACTCCCTAACAACCGCTGCGATTTCTAACTACACAGTGGTCGAATTAAAAACCGCAGCGGGAGGTCAACTGCAACCGCTATCACTCTTTGTGCATAAACAGCCCCATTTAACCCAATGGTGTTGAAAATGTCTCCCGCTACCGCTACCGCTCCCGCTCTTAGTGCAGTAACAGGGCCAAAGAGAAGGCTCGTATATCTCTTCTTGGCCTCTTCAGGTTTTCTTAGAACTTTGTACTTTCTTCAGCTCTCTACGGAACGAGGCTCTTAAATTTTCAATTTTATTTTTATCAAACTTTAACTCACACTCTGGATACAGTTCCTTGCACTTTTCCGTCAGGTTATTATACTCCTCTTTACACGCATGTTTGTTGCAATAGAGTTTACTTTTGACATCCCACAACACCTTCTGGTCTCTGTAGAGTTCAATTAATTCTGACCAGAACTGTTTATTATCATGAAATGACATTTTGGAAAAATGGGACAGTTATCACGCACAGCTCACTGCACACAAACAACAGTGCAGTTATCACAAGTCAACTGGAAACTGTGGCTAGTTGGGGGAGCGGTTCGACGGTTTCCCACACACGTTCCAACATGTCAGGCCTGAGTCGGGGGGTGCTACCGGACCGAGCATACTATGTGACATATCCGTCAAGCATGTCGGGTTGGAACCCACACACTGTCCAATATGTTCGACAAGACGTTGGATCCTGACATGTCCGTCCAATATGTTGGATAGTGTTTGCTTTACCATGAGACCTACAGGAATAGCTTATTTCCTATATGGAAAATTTGATTAAAGAATCTAAAAAGTAAATAAATCTAAAAAAAGATCATTTGTTGTACAGGGGAAGAAGAAGCTGCTTCAGCTGGCGTCGCTTTAAAAAATGCCAATCTGAAATTTGATATTGCTCACACATCTGTTCTAACGAGAGCTCAGAAAACGTTGGCCGCAGCCTTGAAAGGCATTGGCCAAGAAGACATTCCAATTCACAAAACCTGGCGTCTCAATGAAAGACATTATGGCGGGCTGACTGGGTTGAACAAAGCTGAAACTGCTGCCAAGTATGGAGAGGAACAGGTAATATACACTGTAAGGATAAGATTAACTAACTTTCCTCATTAGGATTTAAAGTTATGAACCTTTGATAGAGAACAAATTCCTGAATAGATTGTAATTGTGATGAAATTATGTCTGTTCCAAATCAGGAGAATAATATTTAAGTTACTAGAGGACCCATGCTGCTCTGCAGCTTTAAAATAAATATAATATCCGAGAAATAATCAAATTTATGAGAAAAAAACGTATAGACAAACATTACCAATACTGGAGCTATTAATTTTTAATCTGATAAAAACCTTATAAAAAATAATTTTTAGGTTGGTTTTTTACATTGTGTTTGCTTGAAACGTGTACGATTTGAATACTTAATAGCTTAGATGAAAGCCAGTATTTCACTGAAGGTTCTTAAACTGAAATATATAGGATTATAAAATTATAACTGGTGAAGGTAGGCCTACATCTCAAATTGAAGTAAGAATTAGAAAATAAATCACATTATGTGTTTTGGTAGAGTAATACAGTAGGTAAATATTTGCCGATGCTTTATGAAAAAACTTGGCGTGCATGCCTTCAATTTGAGACCTCAATCATAAAAATCGGTCAGGTAGAAGAGCCAAACGAACTCGGAAAAAAACCAAATTAAACTCACATAAGAAATACATGGGGAGCAAATTTCGTTAACGTGTAAGCCGAGTGGGATAATAGATAAATATATGCCAATGCTTGATGGCAAATCTGTGCGTGCATACCTTCAATTCGAGACCTCAATCATGAAAATTGGTCAGGTAGAAGAGAAGAGCCAAACGAACTCGGAAAAGAGAACCCAAATTTAACTCCCATAAGAAATACATGGGAACAAATTTCGTTTACATATATGCCGAGTGGGATTATAGATAAATACATGCCGAAGCTTGATTGCAAATCTGTGTGTGCATACCTTCAATTTGAGACCTCAATCATGAAAATCGGTCGGGTAGAAGAGCCAAACAAACTCGGAAAAGAGAACCCAAATTTAACTCCTATAAGAAATACAGGGGGTGCAAATTTTGTTTACGTATACACCGAGTGGGATAATAGATAATAATAATAATAATAATAATAGATTATATGCGAATGCTTGAAGGCAAATCTGTGTGTGCATACCTTTAATTTGAGACCTCAATCATGAAAATCGATCGGGTAGAAGAGGCAAACGTAGTCTTAAAAGAAAAACCAATTTTTTTAAATGTATAAGATAAGAAGAGTTTTTAGTATGTGACCGGAGTCAGCCACATCAAACTACCACATTTGTAGCCACAAATCAAATCAAATAATATTATTTATTGCCGTAAAAACACAGTAACATGCATGGCTTGAGTCACATTATTCAAGTACATAAATATAATACAACATTACACACAAGTACATCTTTATCACCTATTTATAACAAAATTGTCTACAGAATAAAAGCGGTTTTCTATTAAAAATATAATCTTTTGTTTGAATACATTGATGTCACTTTTTGACTTGAGCTTGTCGGGCAGCGAGTTAACAATATTGTAGCATTAAAACACATGGCTTTTAAAGAAGGAAGTTTTATGGTGTGGGATATTTAAATCGATTCTTTTTCTAATATAGTAATTGGAGTGAGGAATTAAAGGTCAAAAATATAATGGTTTTAATAAAAAAATATTAAAGTATCTATATAAATAAAATTAGAGTTTTGTCTGTACATTGCTTAGAATAATGAACTTTTTGGTTATTTTTACATTTCATAGGTCAGAGAAACCGAATCAAACCTTATCTCAATTTCTGTCTGTCTGTCTGTCTGTCTGTCTGTCTGTCTGTCTATCTGTCATTCTCTTGGTAACGCTAAAATACGCACTTTATTACAACTACTCCTCAATAACTATAGCACTGTCCCGCCTGAAACTTATTTTCCAAATACTATACATATATGAGATGGTTTTAGACGTATTTCATCGAATATGAGACAGTTAGATATTTAACAGTAAACCCTTGAAAATCAAGTTTTTGTCGATTTTTGACGTGGAATTTCTGGAAGCCCATGTTAACCTTATGAGAAATGAAATTATTGAATCTTAACAGCTGTTTCAATTAAACAAGTTGGTTCTGTTCTGTGATGTTCAATAGCATTAAAGTTACAAGGATTACCAACAGGGTGCAGCACTAGCACTATTATTTCTTTTACATTTATGACAACAGCTAATTTGCAACCTGGAGGCGAGTGAGCGTAGCGAACGAGCTAACCTGAAGGCAAGTGAGCGTAGCGAACGAGCTAACCTGAAGGAAAGTGAGCGCAGCGAACGAGCTCCAACATACAGGTGAGTGAGCGTAGCGAACGAACTTCAACCAGGACGTGATTGAGCCATGCAAACGAGATCAGATAGTAAAAATAAAAGTAAGCCTACCGTTATAGGATCGACCGGCAGACACAGAGGTAATTTAACCTTTTATTGATTGTCATACCGATCCGGAACAACAAAAAACAACATAAAATGAAGCTATGTATAATAGTTTGGCCAGCATATCTTAAAATATGCAAACCAACTGCTGTTCGTTATATAAGAAGGTTTCAACTGAATATTATAAGATCCCCGTGCGTAGAACGGGTACACAGCTAGTTGTAAATATAGATGCAAGGGAAATTGAGTATTCTTAATTTAATGAAAGCCCATTTACAAGATTCTCCAACCAATGCCATTAATAACCCGCACATCCTTTTTCTGGGGTGCAAAAATATGTTTTGTTGCAGATATTTCAGATTCCCACACCGTGACATCAGATACATCACACATTGAGTACAACTGACAATCTGTAAAGATGTTTACATCATTCTGTTGGGAAAGTTAGCAGTGGTTGAATTCAAAAATAGATTAAGAGACAAACTTGATGAACTGTTTAGTAAAACCTTGATCGACAAGATCATCACTTGTCAATTTAGTTACTTTACCTGTTAATTTTTATCTTCATATTAGGTGCAGATTTGGAGGAGAAGTTTTGATGTACCTCCCCCAGCCATGGAGAAAGACCACGCTTACTACGATGCAATTGTGAATGACCCTAGATACGAAAAAGAGCCACCTAAAGATAAATTTCCAATGTTTGAATCGTTGAAATTAACCATTGAACGGACACTGCCCTACTGGAATGATGTTATTATCCCTCAGCTAAAAGAAGGGAAAAAAATCCTAATAGCAGCTCATGGAAACAGTTTGCGAGGAATTGTTAAACATTTGGACAGTAAGTATAGGCTATGTTATATTTTATCCATACACTTAATAAGAAACTGATAGGGCCTAAAACTTAATCTTCGCACAAAGATCTTCTATTTTTACTTTCTCCCCCTATACATAGTATATGAAAACACCTGTTGTCCGATTTTGATGACATTTGGTATGTAGGTACTAATCCAAGGTATCTCCAGGCGTTTTTAGCAAATTTCTCATATAGGGAATAAGCTATTACCAGCATTTTGGATTGCAGATACCGTCCGTAATGTAATCGTTATAAATAGTTTCCACACTCTGAACTGCTTGCCTTTACTACTTTCATCACTACTTCCTATTCCTACGTCACGGACCTGTTTCCCTCCCTTCCCATAGCATATTAGGATTGCAGATACCTTAATCTAATCGTCATGTCTCCTGGGAGAGATGGCATATTCCCTGCTCTCTTGCAAGAAGGCATGGAGGTCCTAGTGGATCTTCTTGTTGCATTGTATAGGGGCAGTTATGTACTGGAATATATCCCAACTTGATGGAGAAGAGCTAGAGTGGTGTTCATACGAAAGAAAGGAAAAGAACCAACTCAGCCTAAATCCTACAGACCAATATGTCTAACCTCATTCATGGTAAAGGCTATGGAGAAGATCACTAACAGGCATGTGAGGGATGAGATTCTCATGAACTCAAGCCTGAATGTGAACCGACATACCTTTATGATGGGCAAATCGACTACAACAGCGCTTCATAGCCTGGTAGTAAAAATTGAATACACATTAGATCACAAGAAAATCCTAGCAGGAGTCTTCATGGACATCCAAGGAGCCTTTGATAATGTGTCCTATCAGTCAATATAGGAAGCACTGATAGACAGAGAAATTCCTCAAGAAATAGTGTGTTGGATAATGGCTCTGCCCCAAAGCAGAGAAATATCAGCCACGGTCGGAAACTCGTCAGTTACAATCGGGGCCAGAAGAGGGTGTCCGCAAGGAGGAGTTTTATCTCCTCTACTATAAAGTCAAACTAAAACAATGGCTGAGTAGGAAGTGTTTTTATTCCATTGAGGAATACTTTACTACTGAAATGGATTTTTAAGTATGAATCCGGCCGCCATGGAGTGTAAATATTGTAAATATTAGTTTATTTAATTTTTATAAAGTAAATTTTATCTGACAAGATCAATCCAGACATCTGGTCAACGATCGCCAGTTGGTAATGGTAATGGTAATGGTATGGTCACTTGTGGTTGACGGCTTGCTGAGAGAAGCTGAACAAACAGGCATTTGCAGATGATCTAGTGCTGACCGTGAGAGGGAAACACAAAGGTACCATTAAGGACCTTACCCAGCGGGCGGTAGATTACATCGACAATTGGTGTAACACAAAGGGTTTGACAATCAACCCCACAAAAACTGAAATAGTGACCTTCACGAGAAAAAGGAGAACCAAAATCTCCCCACCCCAAATTAGGGGAGTGAGGGTCAAGTCAGTCAAGGAGACTAAATATCTGGGTGTATACTTAGATCAGAAGTTGACTTGGAACAGGCACATAGATCATGTCATTGCCAAGGGAACAGGAGCCATGGGCGTCTGCAGAAGAACATTTGGCAAAAAATGGGGACTCAACCCTAGACTGATCTGGTGGATATATGAAACCATAGTAAAGCCTATGGTGGAATACGCAGCCCTGGTGTGGTGGCAGAAGGCAGAGCAAACTGGGGCAGCTGCAAAGCTGCAACAACTGCAAAGACTTGCCTGCACAGGGGTATGTGGCACAACAAGATCATGCCCAACAGTGGTGATGGAGTCAATTTTAGGCGCACTCCCACTCGGGTTGGATATAAAGAAAAGGGCAGCATTAACAGCCCTGAAGACTTGCAGTAAAGGAGAAATATCTCCTTCGAGAAAGACGGGTCACATGTCAATTCTAAGGGAAATCCCAAGTTTAGACATAGAGATGACGGTCTCAGATCGTATGATTAGGAAGTACGACTTTGATAAACCCTACCAAGTGGACATAGGAGACAGAGGAGAACGGCAGAAGGTAAGGGGTAAAACAGGAAAGTCGGCGATGGTGTTTTACACAGACGGACCGCGGAGGGAGGGCAGGTCGGGACTTGGAGTGTATGGGTTTGGAACCCACCTCTCAAAGGCCCTTGGCGAAACGCCGACTGTCTTCCAGGCGGAAGTCATGGCATTAGAGCATTGTGCGAGACTGCAACTGGATAAAGGCCTGAAGAGGAGAGGGGTGCTTATCCTCTCAGACAGCCAAGCTGCTCTCAAAGCAATCGAAGCCTGCGTGGTGGAATCTAAAGTTGTGCAGAGCTGCAGGAACACCCTCAAGGCCCTGAGCGAACACAACAGAGTCCAACTTGCATGGATCCCAGGTCACGCTGGGCTCGAAGGCAACGAAAGGGCTGACGTCCTGGCGGGTGAGGGGGCAAAATCCGAACTCGTCGGGCCTGAACCATGCTGCAGAGTCCCAGTGAGCAAAGGCCAATCAAATATCGTAGCCTGGGCAAAGGGACAACAAGAAAAGGTTTGGGAAAATACCCCAGGCCTAAGACAATCAAAGATGCTCATCAATCCTCTTAGTAAGGAATGGAGAAACGTCTTCGACCTCCAAAAAGGGGAAATAAGCCTCTTGATAAGTCTACTTACAGGGCATGGCTATGTAAGGAAGTACCTCAAGACAATAGGGCTTAGACAGACAGACCAGTGCAGATTCTGCCTCTGCGACAGAATCCGCTGAGCACATATGGCTGGAATGTCCGGCGATAGCCCAGAAGAGGTTGAAACACCTAGGAAAGGCATTCCCGATGCCTACTGAAATACGAGAAATGGGTGTGCACCAACAGATTGGCTTCGCAAGAAGACTTCGATTGGGTGACTAAGCAAAAAAGGGTGCTACAAAAGATCTTGTAGGTCGAGGTAGCAAGGGGTAATGATACCCCAGCCCCATGAGAGAAAAAAAAAATCGTCATAAACAGTTCACACACTCTGGATTACACTCCTTTACTACTTCCTTCACCACTTCCTACGTCGCGGACCTGTTTCCCTCCCTTCCAACGGCATTTTGGATTGCAGATATACTAATGTAATCGTTATAAATAGTTTCCTCACTCTGAACTGCTCCTTCATCACTACTTCCTACGTCACGGACCTGTTTCCCTCCCTTCCCATAGCATTTTAGGATTGCAAATACCTTAATCTAATCGTCATAAAGAGATCCCACACTCCGGCCAGCCCGCCTTTACTACTTCCTTCACCACTTTCTACGTCGCGGACCTGTTTCCATCCCTTCCCATAGCATTTAAGTATTGTAGATACTATAATCTAACAGCTACAAACGGTTCCCACACTCTGCACTGCCTGCCTTTACCACTTCCGTCACCATTCACTACGTCGTGGAGCTGTTTCCTTCCCTTCTCTTAGCATTTAAGTATTGCAGATACATTTTTTCAACTGCCACAAACGGCTTCCACACTCCACACTGCTCGCCTTTTCTACTTCCTTCACCACTTCCACGTCGCAGACCTTTTCCTCTCCCTTCCCATAGTATTTTAGTATTTTAGATACATAATCCAACTGCCACAGACGCTTTTCACACTCCGCAATGCTAACCTTAACTACAATGATCGAGTAATCTTCAGTGTAATCTTTGCTCAATAGTAACAACTGATGTTTTTCCTTATGTACTGTTTGTTATTTGCTAGTATAGCCTACTGTTGGTGGATCACTTTTTATGAACACATGTTACAACTTACAAGTCTTTTGTTTACTTTTTCCTTGTTATTCAATTCAACGAACATGGTTACTTAGCAACCCATAAGACTAATGTTAAAAAATGTTACTTACAGATTCATTAATCTACGTAATTAGATTTTTGTTGGCAGTTCTAACTGCAGTAAACTCGTTTTTAGGCCAGAAATAAACTACTTACAACATTTGAAGAAAATCGTCGGAGCCGTTACATACATGCATACATACATACAAGCAAACATTGCTCGTATTAGTGTATAGGATACTTTAATAATAAAATGGTTAATGAATTTTGGTTGACTTCTTTGGAATAATTTAAATATGACTGAAATAAAGAAAACTAATAAATACTTAACATCATTTACTTTAAACATTGCAAGTACAGTTGGATTTTTTTTTTAGCTAGAAGCTGTTTGGTGGAATATCTTTGAAGATGAACCTATTTGGCTATAGGGCAATCATGTGTTCATATGTGTCAAATTTTGAGGTTAAATCAAAACGAACAAACTAACTTAACAAAGTACCTATATTCTTGGAATTGACAATATAGTTAAATATACTTTAAACCTACTCAAGCCTACTTTTATACTCGGCCATTTAGAGAAAATTTACTGTGAACGCCCGTGTAATAGAGATGTGATTCCTAACGTGATAGCTAGGGAAATAGGAAAAACCAGGGATACATACAGGCTTTTAAATTAAAAACTCCAAATCAACTAATGAATAAGTTGTTATTTAATTATTGTCTCCAAATTATAAGTATTAAATACAATTATTAACAAGAACTGTATAAAACTCAATTTAATCATTTCATAATGTTAGCATTGAACTAAACAAAAACATTGAATTAAACAAACATAATAATACTTAATTCTGAACATCTGTGTATCTTAATAACATATGTAACAGTGGTCCCCCCCTTAAAGTTTTGTGCGTAGCATCTGGTCCACGTGTCGTCTCCAAGTTTGACCATCATCCATTTTAACGTAATAATGAAGATTACCATCTTTAATTTCAACTGTTCCCAAGGCCCACTTGTCTCTTCCTGAATAATTTCTTACTTGTACGCGGTCCCCAGGATTGAATCTTCGCATTATACCTTTTGGACTGGTAGGTTTGTGTTTTCCCCGAGGCTTTAGTAGACTTAGATAAGTGTGAATCTTTCTATTAAACATGAGGAAATATGAAGAGGTTCCCGTTGAATTAGGAGCTTGGCGGATCTGCATTAGAAATCTATGTATTTTTTTCATCGATGGT